TCCTTAATAGGTGGGAGAGTGTTAGCTGCAACAGCTTAACATTAGAAGATTCTTCAAACTTTATAGTTTAATAGTTTGTATTCTTAAATTCTGGGAGGAAAGGCTGAGCAGAACTCAGCTTGTGATAGAGTGGTGAGATTGCTGGAGATGCCAGTAACTGCTCAAGGAAATGCCAACAAGCATTTAAAAGCTTCTTTACCTCTCAAAACTGTTTCTTGTAGGCCCCATTTAATTCAGTCTGTTCTGGGTAAAAATAAATGTTTTGCAATACAACCATATCCTTTCATTTACTTATTGTCTATGGTTGCTCTTATAATACAAGGGCAGATGTTTTCACAGAATCCATCTGGCCAGAAAAAAAGACTGAAATATTTACTGACTACATAGACACGCATGCACACACACACACACACACACACACACACTGTCCAACCTAAACTAATATACAGAGGTTTGGTATTTGGTAGAAAGGTCAGTTTCTTATAGATAGTACATAATCAAATATACCCTACCCTTAATCCATATAACTACTTGTGCATATTTTGATTGGATAATTTAATTTACAATCAGTTGCCATTTTAGAAAATGTTTTCTGTCTGTATTAATTTGGTCTTTAATAATAAAGTATCACAAATAAGTTATGCATTTTCATGCCATTCTAGAGACCAAGAATTCAAAAAACTATGTCAACAAATGCAGTGTCTCATGAGGAGGCCTATCTCTACTAATTACTTTGCAAAAGTCTACAATCTTAGGATCTCCTGACCTGCCTAAGCAGAGACAGTAGTGTAGGGAGAGACCCTGATTACATGTACTGCTGACCATGCCCATTTGGGCATGGTCACAGGTATGTAGAAGGGTGTAGATAAGGGTGAGGGAGAGCCAGGTGCTCTGTCTCTTTATGGGTTGAGCCAGCATTGGGAAGCATTCTGGGACCTGACTGCAAAGAGTGTCAATCTGGTTACTGATTTCTCATGTGAGTATAACTCCCCGTTAAATTACCAGTTAATAACCTATCTCGGGTTCCATTCATGTCCATCTATACAGTAGGATCCTTTTTAATCCTTTTCTATAGACACCAGCTTCATTCATAGTTCTTCCCTCATGACCTAATAAACTCTAAAGAATACCATCATTATGGAGATTAAGGTTTTACTGTATGAAAATGTTTGTTCATAACCATCACATCTCTATTTTATGTTTTGGTTATTTTACTTATCTTCCTTTATTGATTTCTTTTATCTTGTTTTATGAAATATTTTTATTTCATTCTACTTCTCTACATGTTATATTGGTATTTTGTACATATTAAGCATCTTTGATTTTATAACTATGGAATTTTTTGTAACTAATACTTTAATTTGAAAAACATAATCCCCATTTTCTCCCCCTATTACTACTTTTGTTTGTTGTTTTATTTTTTATTCATTTTACGTAACAACCATGTTTTCCCTTCCTTCTCCTCCTCCGCCCCCCCCCCTCCGCAACCTGCCACCAACCCACCCCACATCCACTCCTCAGAAAGGGTAAGTACTCCCATGGGGAACCAAAAATGTATGGCACATTAAGTTGAGGCAACACAAAGCCTGTCACCCATTCATTCATTAAGGATTATATGAGCAAGGGACTTTTGTGTGGCTTGGTCTGTTTGAGGGGCCTCTAGCAGTGGGACCAGGATCTATTGCTGGTGCCTGAGCTGACTTTATGGAGCATATTCCATGTGGTGGGGATGCCTTGCTCACCCTTATTACTTCTTTATCAGTATCAGAAATTAATTTTTATTTTGTGAATCATTTATATTTTAAAAGTTTTAGTTATTTCAATGAGAAATTATTTTATTTTAATTAATTAATTGTGGTGTGTGTGAGTGTGGAGGGCAGAAGACAACTCGTAGAAGTTAGTTCTCTCCTTTCATCATGTGGTTTCCAGAGACTGAACTTGGATCCTCAGGCTTGGCAGCAAGCACATTTACCTGTTAAGTCATATTGACAGTCTAGTTATAGCCATTTTTATTATTGTCTACTAACTCACCTTTATTCCAAATGGAAACTTATTTGTATATCACTCATATAGTATTACACAATTCTCTTCACTTTGATAAATTTGGTTTTACTGATAAGCTTTATAATCACAATTGTTTTATTGTTGCCAATCTGGTGTCCTTTATTGCAGTATGAAGGATTCCTCTAAGGTTTCTAACAAAAATGTCATTCAACTTTTGTCTTGATATCTCTCAGATATCTGTTCTATACATAATATGTTTTATCAGTATTTTTAAAAACCAATGCTTTGAATACATTGTATGACTTCTTTCTGTTATTTAACATATGAATTATGCAAACATATAATATTTAAACAAATTATGATTATGTGTGTTTCTGTGGCTTTGGGAAGAGAGGAACAAATCTGGACAGCTGGAGTTATAGGAAGTTGTAAGCCATAGAATGTTATATGAGTGTCGATCCTCTGAAAGAACAGTATATACTCTTAACTGCTAAACTATCTCTATAGCCCCAGAGAATTTATATTCTTGTAGAGGCACTGCTGGATGTAAATTGCTTTTCTCCTATTTTGGTACATTGTGTCTTTGACTGGAATATTTTAAAATATCATTTCACAGCATGCATTTTATGTTCACCCTGGTTGTAGCCCTTCTGCCTTCACAGATCTGAAAATCCATTTCCTTCCCAGGTTTCAGAGGAGTTTGCCAATCCTTCTTGACTCAAGTCTCTCTTTTGTCTCTTCCCATTTCCCTGAAATGGGATTTTGCTTCATTTGAGGAGATCCCAAAGAACATTTATGCTTTATTTATTAACTTACATTCTTTTAGCAATTTCCAATGATTTTTCATTGAGTCTGCTCATTTTTCTACTTACTCAATCAAATCTTCACTTGTACACCCATGCAGAACTTTTCAGGACACAGAGAATGTTTTTCAGCTTCAAAATTTCTGCTAGGTTCTCTTAAAGTTTTGCTTTGTCTCCAGCTCTTGTTTTATTTATGCATCACTTATTCCTGGGCTTGATGAGCACATTATAAATGCTTATTCTGAATTATGTATAAGGTAACTCACGTACATGAGTCTGTTTGAAGACTGTTTCCTAATATTTTATAAGTTTATTTGAAAACTGTTCCCTAACATTTGTTTTGTTTATTTCCTTGGATGTGTTACTTTCTCTACGTGCCATAATTTTAGTTGTGACCCACAGATTTGAAAAGAAACAGTCTCTTCTACCAGTCTTTTCTGTATGACTACCCATGAAGAGACTTTCACTAATCAGCCCAGATGGAGATTGCAGGAAGCCAGTCAGATGTTTTCTGAATTGCAAAAGTGTATCACATTCTTATTCAAATGTTAAACTTTTTCTGCATCTGGTTCCCAATGTGGGTTCTCTGACCCTGCCACAAATCTCTGAGGCTTCCATTCAGAGACCTCATGGAATACAAACACTTTCATTCCATCTCAGTCAGACAGGAAATAATGTAGTACCAGAGAGATATTTTCCACAAACTGAGCATTATGCACACCTTGTACTTTTACCTTCTGTGAGACAAGCTATGATCATGGCACCTACATCTAATCTTATTTGGTATTTTGTTTTTCTTCCTGTATGGCTGCATGTTCTGTTGTGCTGTTCTAAGCTTCTGCTCATGTTGCTTTGTCTCCATTGGAACAGGATATCCATACTCTACCAGCTCCCTGTCAATAAGTTTCCTAGTTGATTTTCCTCAGCTATAATAAAACATTGTGAACAAAAAAATGGGGAGAAATGGTTTATTTTAGCTTACAGTTTTAATATTCACCAAGAATTGATATCAGGGCAGGAATACAAAGCAGGAAGCTGGACACAGACACTGAAACAGAAAATATGTTTCAGTGTTTCACATGGCTTATTTAGTTAGTTTTCGTTATACAACTCAGAACCATCTGCCCACAGGGGCAGTAGCTAAAGTGGACTGGGTCAAACATATAAATCAAAAAACCAGGAAAATCCTCTATAGGCTTGCCTACATGCCAATTTTATGGAAGAATTTTCTTACATGATATTTTCTCTTCTTAGATAACTTTACCTTGTGTTAAGTTGACAGAAAAACACCTACCAGTACAGCACCCCTCGTCAGTCTCATTCATAACCCACACCAGAAGTTAGAGTACTGTAATTTGTTCTAGATTTCTTTCCCCTTCCCAAATTGAAATGATAGGTTGTCCATTTCCTTTCAGTCATGAACTATGTGGCTAGGGAATAGAAGAAATATGTTAACATGAAAGTGATTTTTTTCATCACAAGGAGGAAGATCTTGGTCGTTGCCTTGTTGGAAATACTGTTAACACCTACCTCATTTTAGAAGTGTTCATAAAGAATTCTTGTTGAAAAATCTGTGGTGCCATGGACAGAATTGGGACCTACTAATAAGCCATATTGCTGACATAGCTGTCCCTCCTGTTAAATTCATAATCCTGAATTCAATTTTCCTACTGTGAGAAAAAAGTGTTAGAATACTTTATTCTGTGGTTTAAAAGAGATCAGGATTCAGTGATATTTTCTATAATTATTAGAGGAATATTTTTTCTCATTCCAGAAAAGAGATGTAAATAATAACAGAAAATTAATGGTGGGGGTGAAGGAGAGAGAGAGACAGAGATGGAGAAAAACAAAGAGATTGACAGATAGAAAGGGAGCAATGCTGTGTGGTAATAACTAATAAAAGTAGAAATAAGTGAATGTAAGAGATCACAAAGTTTAAAGGACAATAAAACTATAAGATCACAGTGCCCTGGTTGCTATGCCTCTTACATATTTACCAATAGACTGGCACCCACAAAACCATAGAAAAGACACTGCTAGCTGCTAATATTTTATTTTGTTTACTTTGTGCTGGTAAGATTACTTTTTTTTTTTTAGTTTTTAATAACAAGAAAATGTTTATATATTAGTCCATATCGGACACAGAAGAGGACGCGCTTGTTAAACACTTAGGATCCCAGAACAAATCCTCACCCCGAGGACTCCACCATTTCTCCATAATCAACCCTTTAGACCATGATAGAAGCTGACAAAGTTACTCATGTCAACAGTTTCCTTTCCCACTGCAAAAGCTGAACAGGGGCATGCCACACTAGTCTGTTGCAGTTTACATAGGAGTTCTCATGATTCTAGCATTATACAAGTTTAAGCTGAGATTATACTCAGAAATAAGTTTAGAAAACAGCATTACAAAAGACTCAGTGAGCAGTGAAAAAAAAAAATCCCATGCAGGGCGACTGTGCTGTAGAGGCGGTGTCTTCATTGCCATAAGTCCTCCATGCGACCAAACTTAAACACCAGCCCTCCAAAAAAGATGAAGGCATTCTGGAAAAATACAGCAATTCCAGGATATACTATGGGCTTTTCCTTAGCAACATAACCTCCAAAGAGAATCCACATGGATGCAATCAGGGATCCGAAGGCCAACATGAAACCGATGAAGAGCCAGATACGAGCGCCTGTCTGGCCCAGACAGCCTTCACTGTAGCTGTCACCTCGCACTTGTCCATTCGACACTGCGTTAATCATGAGGAAGGCTATGGTCGCTATGACGCCACAAGCATGGTATGAGTGGTTGAATTCCTCCATGCTGGGATAAATGACAGCTGCATCTATGATGATCCACCATCCTGTGAAAAAGTCCAAGCCTGGAGCCGGGAGTCGGCGCGTTCGGCAGCCTCACTTCACTCCAGTTCTGCAAGAAAACAAAACAGCCACAGCCACCCAGACTCCCGGATGTCAATGTGCCAAGATTACTTTTAAAGTGTAATAAGTAGAAAGAATTTCTTCATACATATTTTCTTTACTAACTTTTTGAAATATTATTCAAAACATCACAATTTATCATTTCAGTTTGATAATTTTGGGGAGATTTCATATGTGATCAGCAAATTTATATAATTTCCATCCCCCTCTCTCATCCCACCAACTCCTCTCATGCATCCCATAGCCCATTTCACATTCCCATTCTTCTATTTAATCATTATTTTTGCACATATAAAATATGTATCTACCTACCTATATTTCTTTTTATCTATCTGAGATCTCTTAAGAACATTTAATATTACATGTGCTTATGTGTTATTGTGTGTGTGTGTGTGTGTGTGTGTGTGTGAGAGAGAGAGAGAGAGAGAGAGAGAGAGAGAGAGAGAGAGAGAGATTGTTGTGTGTATGTCTTTGTGTATATATTGAGCATTGAGCACTTGGGATCAGTTAACCCATCAGGAGGCATATCCATAGAAAATACTGATTTTGCATCTTTCACCTGTCATTTATTGCCTGTAGCTCTTCATGTAAGCTCTTCATGGAGTCTTGATTAATAATGTTATAGATCATCTATGTCCAAAATAATCATTGAATAATGTGTGACATACTTGTATATTTCTTTTTTCATAGTGCCAGAAATATTAACATGTAGATCTTGTCTTAAATTATATTGATGAATTCCTCCTCTGAAGTGTTGAAATAAAACAGGCCACACATGAATGCGTCTGTCTGCTAAATTTGTAGACACATTGTCAGGAAAGCAATGAGACATTCCTGACATTTGGAAAACTGAAGTTCATTTCAGCTTCATTAATGGGACACACTTAGATGTTGTTGAATAAAACAGCTCCCGACTAACTCAATTACATGATGTATTAATGGTCACAGCACAGCTCTTTCCAGGAAGGCAAGAGAATCTGCCACTATTGCTGCATTAATAGCTTTAGGCTGAATAGCTTCTACTCAAATAGACTAATGCACTTCCTGCTAGCCTCTTATTAATTCCTAATCAATAGCTCATTTAGAATGCAGAAGGCATTATTATTAAATAATCCAGACCTTGTATTTCTATGAGACACTTATAGCTTTTACTTGTGATAAACTTTGTAATTATCCATAAATAGAAAAGCTAAACTGTCTCCAATATATCAGGTAATACAAAAATACATGAGCCAACTAGTTAAGAAGTATGTCTTTTCCTTTCAAAGATCTACTCTCAAAAGCAATTAATTAATGCTGTATGGCATTTGGAGGTGTGGACTTATCATACTGTCCTTGCACCCAAAGCTTATTTTATGATACCACAGCATTATCATCCTAAAAATAGTCTCTTTGTCTTAGATTTGCTTTGTTAAAGGACAATTGATTCTAATGCACTAATTATGGCCAAATTTAGGAATAGAATAAGTGGTGATTTTCAGCATTTTGAAACAGAGGCAAAATGTTCAGAAATTAATTTATCTGAGATAGTTGCATGTTATGAAGTCTAATTTTTCACATGTGATTATTTTTAGAATGTTTTGTCTACATTTCTATGTATTCCTCCAAGACAAACTTATTGGCTCTAGGTAATTAAACAGTGAAATAAAGTTCCTGGTTTTCTGTACTTCAGAAACTAGTCTTAATAGGGCAGATTTCTCCTGAAGAACATTCAAGCCAAAGCTGCTTTATGGATGTTTTGTTTATTGGAAGACTGTAATAATATTTCCAGATATCTTTTTAACATTAAAAATAACTTCACATGGAAAACAATTTATCCAGACAAAGGAGGCAAGGTTTATTTACAATTGTTTGTAAAACTCTGTTCTCTAAAGGTTTGAGCAGTTCCAGTCAAAAGAATAGTATATGAAATCACATGACTCAGTATTGCCTTGATCACCAAATGACTCATTTTCCTAACCTTGGCAATTGAAAGAGAATTTTTCCTTTTCTTTTTTGGTTGAAAAATTACAGAACATCCTTAAACAATTCCTTGTATATGGCATTAACTCAAAGTGTAAAAAAAAAACTCTTTGTCGTATGCTTGGTTAAACTGAGATGCATAGGTGTGAGATCATGTTGTGCTTGTAACCAAACTTCAGTGAGATCATTTCCAGGGATATTCTACTGGCCATAGAGGTAACTTTTAAGATCTGCTCCAAGGTTGTTATTGAAAAACAGTCTTGCTTTTATTGTTTCTAGGCAAAGTTCTTTAATGATTACTGTGTTACTGCATACATCTCATAAGTCTCTTTGTGAGCCTTGCTTATATCTTCTTGTGGACTGCTGAAATTTGTCTTCACTGACGTGATTATTCATACTCTTACTCATCTACACTCTGTCAGCCCCATCTTACGACTCTTCCATTCCCCTATAAATGTAGTTTCAGTATTTAAAGGAAGACATATACACATTTGGCTTAATTCTTTCATTAAATATTTCTGAAGTTATTTTATATTTAAGTTTATATTTACTTGTTGTCTATTTGTTTGTTGGGTTTTGGGTTTTGGGTTATTTATGTGTGTGTGTGTGTGTGTGTGTGTGTGTGTGTGTGTGTACATGAGTGAATTCCTGAAAGCCAGGAGAGGATATTAGATTCCCCAGGAGCTGGAGTTACAGGCACTTGTGAGCCTTCTGATGTGTTTGCTGGGAACTGAACTTAGGTACTCTGGAAGACTAGTAAAAGTTTGTAACCCCAGGGCCATTTTACTATCCTTCTGGATTCAGTTGATAAGAATTCAGAGTAGAACTGGAGAGATGGTTTAACAGGTAGAAGCATTTTGTCTCCTCTTTGAAGACCTGGTTTTTGTTCTCTGAATCTACATGGCTGTTCACAATTTCTGTTACTCCAATTTCAGAGGAACTCTGGATTCTACACAATAGGGACAAAATTGTTAGAAATAAACACATATAACAAAGACAGTCATACACATAAATAAATCTAAAATAACTTTTTAAAAAATATTTATTATTTCTAGTTAGGGAACAAGCTTGTTTCACATGTAAGTCCCTTCTCCCTCTCCCTCCCCTCACCCCCATACCTCCTCCCCCACCCCCAG